CTGTGACGTTAGGCTACCCGCACCTGGGGGCTTTGGGGAAGGATCCTTCCTGCCTCTTCCTGCTTCTGGTGGTTCCAGGTGTTCCTTGGCTTGTGGGTGCATCACTCCCTTCTCTGTCTCTGTGGTTGCATGGCCTCCCCCTTTTCTCTCTAAAATCTCTCTCTGCTCACTCATATGGATACTTCCCATGTAAAGTAGGCTTTGGATTTAGAATTTACCCAGATAATCTAGGATGATCTCCTCATCTCAAGATTCTTGACTTAATTACATAAACAAAGACACTTTTTCCAAATGAGGTCATAGTCAAAGCTTGCATGGATGAGGGCCTGGACGTATTTTCTGGGGAGCCCACTATCAATCCATTGCAATACTTAAGTGTTTGGGGAGAGGAGGAGCTAAACAGAGACACATCATCTAAGGTATAAAGACAATATCATCAACTTGAGGTGTATCAACCATTCAAGCTGGTCACAATGGGACACTTACCTGGGTTCCAAAGTAAATGCCTTCATGCTAAAATAAGTTATCATAGTAAACAACTTTCAGACAAAGATCTTACGACCAGACAAACCACCAAGGTTCATATATGTACGTGTTATATATTGCATAACTATTCATTTTTTAAAGTTTTCATTTTAATTATTATGGATACACGATAGTTGTATATCTTTATAGGGATTTTGACCTACATTTTCATTAATTCAGTTGTTATTACGTAAGGTTTCTTCACTATCTCCTAATCTATTCATTTTCCTCACATCAAAATTTAGGAACTTCAAAATACTATATGCTACTACAGTCAGTTTAGAATCACCTTAATGGAAATTCAATTCTCCTAAGAGCCAGTGTCTTTTGCCAAACCATAATTCTTCTTTCCTTCAAGATTCTTAATTTTAATAGCCAATAAAATTAGAAACACTTCTGGATTTAATGCTTATCTATCATTTAAATCACCAGTAGAAGTTTAAGAGCAGCCCCTATAACCGGTAATCCCATCTATGATTTAAAATTTGTTAAAACAAATTATCAACCAAGAAAACACCCTACAAGCCTTCTTTAATTCAGATTCATGCTTGTTAATGAAACCATGTTAATATTTAATGCACAGCCTCTTCCCATTTACTTTAAAATATTTCTGTAATTGAGATTGGAAAATACACCATGCTCCTATGAGTAATAAAAAATTCAAATGTGTTTGGGAAAGATCTTCAGCTATAATTTAAATAATGTTGCTTAAACATTTTTAAAAGGACCTCTGAGCCTCTGTTCCAAACAAGATTCAGAAGTATGGCAGGGTTTCCTGTTCAGAGCTTTCAGGATAGGTGAGTCCATCAGGATGAGAGCTGGCTGTCAATATCATCACTAGCAGTAATTATTATCCTTCCTATGAGAGGCAATAAATTTTCACTAAAAAGACCAGATAATCCCATCACGGAGGAGCTATTGGTGATGAGAGACATGCTCTAGCCCATCCATCTGGCTAAAAAGAGGCTACCAACCAACCCTAGAACCCCAGAGCCACTGTGCTTTCTCGGGGTCAGCTTTATTATCCTATTGTCCAAATTAAACCCTGCATGTTGATTTTAAATGAATTAACTTTTTCTATATCTCTTGATTTATAAAATGCAGAATGTGCTGCTGTTTTTTTGACACAGCAATTGCTCAAAATTGAAGTGTATATAGCTACATTTGATGATTCGAATGGCATATGGCTTGACATATTGCCACAAATTACATATAATATACACTGTAACATGTGAATGAGTCCCCAGGGAGTTCTTTGGCTAAGATTCATTAGTACATCTCAGTAAAATGAAAGATTTTTATAAAACCACAAAATTGACTCCAATTATGGAAATCTTGCTTAAAAAATGGTGATTTGACAAGAAAATTCATGATTCCACAGGGGTTTAGGCTCTGTACCAACTAATCAATTGATTTTCTCTGTTTTTCTTTATTTCTGTTAGATCTCAATGAAGTAATTATATTAATTTGAACTATTAGTTGTTTTTCTCCCAAATTTTCTAAAAACAATTAAAATAGATATTTTAAGTGCCTGTGGAATATTTTTTTACAACTGAACATAAAATCGTTAAAAATTTATTATCCCAAAGCACGTTTCTATTTACTTTAATGCAATTAGCCTTTATTCAACATTTAATGCATCTCCAGTACACAATACAAACAGATTTCTGAAGCAAATCAACTATGTACTTGCTTACGATAGCTTCCATGAAACTTTTAGGAAAATAGTTTTCAATACCTTATTGTAAATTTTAAAATAATTTTTATAAATTTAATAAATGTTTGTTATGATGAAAATATAGATTTAAAAAATCTGAATACAAGACTAAAAGATTACTCTCTTTACAAATAATTTTAAAAGCTAAATCTCTCAAATATAAAAGAAAATTAATTCTCTAAGGAGTGATATATAGATATATAGATGGATAGATAGATAATTTCCCTTGACTTCTTTACACATCCCATTGACTAAACAAAACTTCTTAGGACAAGATTCTGCTATAAGGTATCACAAAGATCACCTCGGCCTAACTTCCACATGGCCCAGGTGTGTTTCTTACTGCCCTCATCTCGTCTTTTCTCTTGGTTTCTATGATAATTCTTTTTCTACTGACTTCTTCCTCTTCTCCATGCTCTTCCTGGGTGGAATTATCAAGATACACATTTCCAAGTATATAACCAGGCTTCTAAAAACAACCACCTCTTTTATCCCAGTATCAAGCATTTTTAGCATATTAGGATTTCCACTTTAAAAAAATCTCAAATTCAAAACATCTAAAACTGAATATCATTCCTTCCAAACCACTTCACACTCCAGGACTTCCTCTCTTGGTTGACACAATACATCCCTCCATCCGTGAGCCACATGAGAACCCTCTGGGTCCCCTTAGGCCACATCTCCCTGGCTTTGCACATCCCGCCAGCCACGGCCTGGTTCCTGGTTCCTTCTGAATGCCTGTCTCTGTCCGGCTACCTGTCAAATGCAGACCGTGATGCAGCATCTCCAAGGACCGCCTCCCCGACCCCCCCAGCTCCAGTTGCCAATCTATTTTACTTCACGTCCTCTGTTTTTCTCACTGCTTCAGTCTCCTACCCTGTCTAAGAATATTCCGTGAGGTATTATAACACCATCAAGAGGACAAAGCCCTCAGTTTTACGTGCATGTTTATTCATGATTGGCTGAAACTAACCTTTTTAGCTATTTCATCTACCATTCTGTCTACACTTAACTGAACTTGTGACACCATGTCCCAAATACCACGGGGGTGGATATGGAGGAACAGTGTACCACACCCATCCTAGTTGCCTTGCTGTACGTGGAAGTTGAACAAAAAGAAAGTTACCTTCCCAGATTCCCTTGCATGTGGGATCTGATTGCTCTTTAGTCTCCACTGGTCTGCAGAAGTGGTGAGGGCCACACTTCCATTGCTACCTAGGAAATCCTGTCATGAAGGTGTTTGTGTTTTCTCTGGCAAGGGAGATGTCCAGGTCTAGTCACTAGCGTCTTCGAAGTGGCGTGCTAGGGTGTGGACATTATACTTGTGTAGGTGGTGGCCACACTGAGAGAATCAGTAACTGCAGCAGCAGCTTCTCCACGTGGCTGGGCATTTCCTGATCCAAGATGAGGCTGTAACTACCATGGTAGCTCTGTTCTGTGGCGTGGTTTTAAGGGCATTCCTAAAAGTTCTACTTAGGGTCTGCCAACAATTATTTTCCCTACTATTTTCTACTTAAGTAGCTGGAGTGGATTCTGTCTTACGCAACCGAATCCTGAACGATACCCATGCCACACACTTTCAGAATCCTATGTCTCTACGAGAACGCCTCCTCTCTTTTATAATTAGTGAGCTCTAACTTATCCTTGGATGCCTAGGTCTGGGAAACATTTCTACATTTTTTTTTAGCCAAATAATTGCTTCCTTCTTTGTTAAGATTATTATATTCATAATACATCATTAATATTTATTAATTTGTCTTTCCCTTATCTGAATCTGAGATATTTGAGGGCAAGGAATGGGCTTTGCTCAACTTTGATTCTCTAATGTTCCCCGTTTGGTGTATAGTAGAGTCTCAGTAAACTCTGGTTGAAATGAGCTGAAATACACTGTAAAACGGTGACTAGAGATTTCACCCTCTAGTCTGTAATGTGTACTAAATGGGGCCAAAAGCAGTGGGCTACAAATTCAAAAGTGGGACACATTAACTACAGATGGGATTTGGATTGAGGATAAATGGACATGGATTTAAGCATCAAATGGTGAATAAAATTTGATCTTGTTAAGAAGACAAGGAGGATATTTCAGCTGGAATATAAGGGAGCTTAAGGTGGCTGGGAAACGCAGGGAAACCATGAGTGGATTAGAAAAAATACCTTGAAAAGAGGTCTTGTATAGGGGAGTTATGACAGATAAGTCACGAAAGAAAAGATCATGAGCAGCTTGGAGAAGCCCGATATTAGTCTAGAATAAGAAATGTATCAGTTTTATACAGATAAGAAGAAGTCCTTGAAGGTTTAGAAGGAAGAAGCACGTTTTACAAACCTGGTTAGGGAATTGGGAGAGATCTGAGAGCAGCTTTCTTTCCTTGGTCGACATGCTTTAAGAAAAATACTTTCAAATACTAAAAACTATATTCTGGACAAGCAAACTCACATGCCCAATGTTTGCCTGTATTAAGAGAATATCCAAGGTTTATGGCAGAGCCTTTGTATTAAATCCAAGAGTCCTTTGCTCATATTAAGTTATAATTCTAGACACATTATGAGAAGGATGACACAGCATGCTTCATCATTCTGAGGATATTAATTCCTTATCAGGCTAACGGAAAATAGCTTAGAAAAGTAAAATTTTGATGGTTGTTCATCCAGCTTTCATTTATCAAAATAATACACCTAAAATTAAAAAAGTCTAATGGTTGTCCCTGGGCTCATTGGTCCATTAATACATATGATAAATTATGCGGTTCTATTAACTTACCCTTCCTGCATAGTGCATGATGGTGAAGGCTGTGCCTTGGTCTTTCAGGGCGACATTCCCATTCCCATCCTTAATGGGGGAATAGACTGCATTCGTGTTTGAGGATTCTAGGAGGCTTTGCAGCTTTTTTGGAAGGTTTGTTTCCATCGGCCAAATCATCTGACTTTCTTCATCCAATAAAGACAGAAGTCCACATGGCTTCTGAAAGTTAAGAAGAAATAGGAAATTGTTTCTTCTATGACTTCGTTAAGTATTTTTGTTATTGTTCATGCATGTCATTTATATTTCATTATATTCATATAGACACTCAGAAAATGGATCAGTCTTTCCTTTTTAATACACTTCTATTTCTGCTCACTGCTGTGTCCTCACCACCCAGCGTTGCTCTGGTGTAAAGCAGGTCCTCAATAGTATTTATTCAATACAATGAATGAATAAATAAATGAATACAATGTATTTTAGTGTCATTAAAACACTGCAGTTTTTTAAAAAGTATATTCTCATTTGAATAAGAAAAATGCCATTTCAGACTATAGGAAAGCTATTATTTTTCTTGACCTATATACTCCACACTTATGAAGGGACAAGAAACTTAACAAAAATTAAAATCTGTAATGATGCTAAGTTATAAAAATTGTGGCAAAATACTATTCAGTAAGAAAAGTGACTCTACTATATTCAAATATTTAGGCCTAGAAAAAATAAAGCTTGAAGCTATGACTTATAAAACTTAAATTATAAATCTGATAGTTTATAAATGCCCAACAAGGAAACTAATATCATATATATAAATGGTAAGCAACAATTTAAATCTCACTAAAAGGAAAATGCTGCTAAGATAAATTCCCAAGCACTGATATTGCATCCTCCAATATAGAGTTATTTAAAAAGTACTCTAAGTGAAATTCTATATGACTCTGTCCACATGGTTTAGACAACAGTTGAATAGTTTCTTACCTAGTGTATTTATCTTTTCTCGTACGTCCCCTAGGAAAGTTTGTCTGTTGACATATCACCTCCACCTTGTTAAATAAGGTAATTTATACTTTTTCTTCCCATTAATCTGTCAGGTGTCTTAATTGTTTACACCAACTCAATGCACTTTTAAAAGTGTAAATAGCATAAAAATAATTCTTCTCAGGAAGTGCAGAGAGATGTATTGACCCCTGTAATGATGTCACTTTGTACTCTGACATGCAGTTACCAAACCATATCACCACAGGCATTTTATACTGTCATTTATTTGCCTAATAGAAAGTCATTTCTTCGTGTCTTAAATATTTTAGTTGTTTTAAGCCTTTCAAAGTCTCCTGCTCATATTAAAGAGAATCCAAAGACTATATGCAGTTGCCTGAGGGCTACAAAGGTATAACCAACCATAAAGAGTGAAGGTCATTAATGCCGGCCATGGGAAAGACACAGCCCTGGTGGGGGCTCACATACCACAGAGAGCTCTTTTGGAGACACTTGGCAACTACGGCAGCCAGCTCTAGAATGAGAAACCAAATAGCTTCCCTGGGAAGGAAAGGAAGAAGGACTAAAGATGGAGAATGGCACTAGGAAGGAATTGGGAATGCCTACACAAAGCAAGTTCCTGTACCTCAGTAAATTACCTGAGGTCAGCAATACCCGAGAAGATTTTTGTTACCAATGTAAAGATGTTTTTTGATAAAGAAATCTAGAGATGAAAACCCTTACTGGGAATGTTAGCTCAACACGCAAATCTAACAGTACATTGCAAGAATCCCGAAATCTCAGA